TGGGTGTGGGTGTGGGTGGGGTGTGGGTGTGGGTGTGGGTGGGGTGTGGGTGTGGGTGGGTGTGTGGGGTGTGGGTGGGTGTGGGTGTGGGTGTGGGTGTGGGTGTGGGTGTGGGTGTGGGTGGGTGTGGTTGTGGGTGTAGGGTGTGGGTGTGGGTGTGAGTGTGGGTGTGAGTGTGAGTGTGGGTGTGGGTGTGGATGTGGATGTGGGGAAGGCCAAGAAGCAATACTACCCACACCCGGACCCACTCACTCACACCCACACTCGCACCCACACCTACACCCAGACCGACACCCTCACCTCACACCCACACCCACACCCACACGCAAACCCAGACCCACAGCAACACCCCACCTACACCCACACCCTTCTTCAATTGTGCATGTTGTATCTGTGAATTTCTTTTCTCTTTTTTTATCGTTTTATATCTTGATGATCAATATTTCAAAATGGCAAAGAAAGATTGTCGCTTGTTATGAACTTGAATCTAATAGAAAACTCTTTCTAGATTATCTTATTAATTTAAAAATTTGCATTTTGACATTTTTAATAACAATAGAACAACGATTGAGTGAATTATCAGAAAATAATATGTAAGTTTATCTAGTCAATATTGTTTGGCAATTTGACAGAATAGCGTATGTTTTGGAAACAAGCATTTTTATCTATATATTAATATCGATCAATCATTTGCAACTGTTACTGATTTCTGATTTGATATACACTCAACAGTACGATGCACTACTGAAGTGAATCTATTGAATTCGACCAAAACAACTCCTTCCCAATGGAAGCATCAAACAATAAAACAAAAATTATGAGATTGAGTGATGAAGACACAATCGTCAAGGTTGCTCTTCAAGATTATGCTAAAAAAAGATGTTCTTGTTTTGAATTGATTCAATTAATCGCGACAATATGCATTCCAATTATTATCGCGATATATACAATTATACAACAACGTCAAGACCTCCAGGTGGCTAATATGGCACGAGCATCAGAACGTGAGATAGCGGAAGGCAATCGTTTAACTGAACTTACAATAGCTGAACACAATCGACAGAAAGATCGTGATCTTGCTATTGATCAGCAACGGGAAAACATCCTTGTCGAATATCACAGATTTCTGGCACAACTACTTGAGAAAGGTTTACCTTTAAAGGTTTCATCAAAGTCGGTTGCACTATTAATGTCACATACTGCATTAAATCAACTGAATAGCAAACGGAAACGTTATGTTATACGGTCTCTCTATGAAGCTAAACTAATTACTCTTAATGAAAATAGCCCATCACAAGGTACGAGCACTTTAGAATTCGGGGGAATTGATCTAAGCAACGTCATGCTCGGTTCAGTGCACGATCCGCCACATGCACAGTCACTGTCATATTATATTGACTGGTATTACCTTTATTTACCTAGAGCTATTCTCAGAAACGCCTCGTTTCGTCATGCAAAACTGGACTGCGTCACTCTTTTTGATACTAAGTTGGATTCAGCTGATTTAAGTTTTGCCGATAATCGAAGAAAAAAATGCTTCAATTATTTTCCAGAGTTTCATGCAGTTTTTTCAAGATCCTCTTTAGTTAACGCTAGCTTGTACCATGCTAATTTTTATCTGGTTAATTTCGATTACGTTAATTTAACATTGGCCAATATGTATGGAATCCATTGTGTCGATTGTACTTTCTATAAGGCAACAATGATTCAAGCCAATTTGAGTGATTGCTTAATTCTTCGTTCTTCTCTCAGCAAACCACTGGACAGCTTTCATTCAGCAAATTTAACTTACGCTATTGCTCACGTAGCTAAGTTTTATTCAATGATTTTCGACTTCTCGAATTGGTCTTATGTTAAAGCGTCGGAATTACTTCTGGAAAACTGCACATTCATTAATGCAACAATGATAAATGTGTCATTTGTGAAAAGTTCTATAAAACAAGTATTGTTTCAACAAACGGATCTATCTTACATCGATCTAAGTTATGCTGTATTAAAGAATGTCCGTTTTGTAAATGCAAACATGCAAAACGCAAATTTGAGTTATGTGAACTGCAGTTATTGCGATTTCACCAATGTTGACTTACGAGATAGTTTACTCAATGGTGCATCGTTACGTTATACCAATTTTCTCAATTGTTTCATGAATGACAGTCAATTAGAAGGAGCGATTGATCTTATTGGATCGAAACTACCCAATGGAACTATTGTCCGAAATAACGATTAACGATATAAAGAATCATGATACCTTACTCCTATGAGACATTGCTCGTAACCTGTGCTCGATATTGTTCAATGACCATCGCTGACTTGGCTGATTTTGTTTTAGCACTTTATTTCTAAATGTGACACTCTGAAGTGCTTACATATAAAGTTTAGGGGTTGAACCAATTGAGAAAGATAGTGTAATCTATGTCATGTACTAGTAATTTCTTATCCTGTTGTTTTCCCATATGGTATATAGAATGTATTGAAGTAAATAATAGGTACACATGATGATGTATTATTCATTTTCCAAAAAGTTAATCCATTTTATCAGAAACGTTTCATGTCTATTAATTAGCTTTTTAACTCTCTTCAGCCTGAAAAATGTCCTAGTGAATCCTTTTTTTCTTTCTTGAAATGATCCTAATAGAATATATCCTCAAGAAAGAGTGAGCTACCTAGATCTGATTTATACAGTTTTTTTATCTTTTCTTTATATATTTCTGTGCATAGGCTTTTAGTGATTTCTCTTTAGTTATCAAGAATAGATCGTCTGATGATACATATGGACATCTATACACAGTCCTAATTGCTACTCGAAATTTCCTGTCTGATGTTTCTTGTTGTGTCTTCGGAATGAGGGGATAAAATGGAAATATCCACGCTAGGTGTGGGAAAACGTAAGCAAATAAGTATTGTCTTAGTACTAGTGTTGATATTTTTCTACCTTTTTTCAACCATTTTAACTTGACTAGTGCTTTCTCTACTTTTTGAAGAGATTCATCTATTGTAGCTTTCAGTGACATCTTGCTGGTCCATGTGAAACCCGAGTATTTAAATTTGTTCACTATCTCCAACTCTTGTCCTTTCATGTGAATCTTTAGTTTCGGTTGTTCTATTTGTGCATAAAATATTTGTCCAACTGTTTCCTTCACGTTGATGGGCAGTTTCCACCTATTTGCGTGCTGCGCAATTTTACTACATACTTTGTTCCATTCTTTTTCTAGATGTTTGATAATAGAGGATAAAGATTTCATGATGGGTGCACTTATGAGCACACTCAAGTTATCAGCAAAAAGATGACCTGAGTGTGCTTCTAGACATTCAACCAGATCTGAATGGTACACTATGAAAAGATAAGGACTCAAGCTACTCCCTTGTGGCAATCCAATGTTAATATCAAACTTATCCGATCTTATTTCACCAAAGCTGATATAGGCCTGCCTATTTCTCAACCATGATAGGATTATCTTTCGTAATGCTACAGGTATTCCTAAGTTACGCAACTTAACTAGCAGCCCAGCATGCCAGACCATATCGTAGACCTTTTTATAATCCACGTATATGGCCAGGATAGGCATATTAGCGGCAAGATTATTTTTTCTCTCCTGGTAAATGGATAACACTCTAGTCGGTAATAGTCCTCCTGGTCCGAAGCCAGATTGTTCGGTAGGGACTAGTCGATTTCCTTCTGCCCACTCTCTAACTCTCTGTAGTAGTATTTTTTCGAAAATTGTTGAGTGTGTCGGAAGGAGAGATATTAGTCGAGTCTGGTCACTTGCGGTACACCAGCTTTCAACTTGTTCAGTGTTATTATTCTCGCGATCTTCCAAAAGTCAGGATATCTACATTCTTGTAACCAGATATTGAAAAGTTTAACTAAGCATTGGATATAAGTTGGGGGAAGAAGTTTAATCATATGATTAGGTATTTGGTCATATCCTGCTGATTTTTTTTTCTTTAGTTTCTTTATAATTTTTGTTACCTCCGACACAGAGACTGGTTCTAAATTAGTATTAACGACCCGGGGTATACTATCCTGCAACTGAATGTATTTATTGTCTATGTAGTAATCGGGTGTGGGTGTGTTGGTGTGGGGTGTGAGTGGATCAAGGGGGAAAAGCCGATCCTGGTGGAACGTAGGATCCATCAGGGTCTATCAGCATCCATTAGGATCCACCAGGACCCATTAGGATCCACCAGGACCCATTAGGATCCGTTAGGATCCACCAGGATCTATTAGGATCCTGTAGGGTTCACCAGGATCCAGTAAGAGCTATTTTTTGGAAATTTCGAATAAGCTGCTAAATAATGTATGTCTTGTGGCAAATCGTCCAGAAATGTAAGTCTACTATTATTAATAACATTTTATTGAAATATATATAATTAAAGAAATAAATGAAACCGAAATCCAAACTCATTATTCCTGTTCACTTGTCTGTTCTACTCGTGATAATCTGTCCGACGATAAACAGTTTTTACTAGTAGTCAACAGACGTGCTACCGTTTGTTTATGTAAATACTTTGGTTTATTATTGATCATAATATGAAAATAATTATCCTTTTTCGTTGGATCAGTTTTATCGAATATTTTCATTCCTTGGAAGGTTTCTTTTGACGTTGTAAAATGATAACTATCCGGATTATTGTCATCTGAATCAAAACCTTCAACTTCGACGTTTGTTTCAAAATTTTCTGTATCGATTTGAATATTATTATTGCTATCATCTGTACTATCCTGAAGATCAATTTCATTGAAGTACCCAGGCAGACAAAACTTTCCAAAAACGCATTTAAACGCACAAAAAAAGAGGTAAAATCCAAAAAAAGTGGGCGTTTTTGGCTCACAATCGCGGTTCCCGACTGTGAGCCAAAAAAGTCCAGATTTGGCACTTTTCATGCGTTTAAACGCGTTTTTTACC